TATTATTATTATTATTATTATTATTATTATTATTATTATTATTATTATTATTATTATTATTAAGGATGAGTTTGAATCTCTCAAATTTTCAATAATCTGTCTGTTTGATGGTCAGCACTTTGGTCTCGGAAACCTATGCCCTCAAGTTCATATCCCTGCCCTGGCAAATACTTTTGGAAGTTGGAAACACTTGCAGAGGCATGTGTTGTGTCAATGAGGAAAACCTTGAGTGAAGTAATCCCATCGCTGGCTACAAAAACGTGTGCCATAAAGTTCAAATGTGCAAAATTTTTGTTTGGGTTTTCTAGTGCTATAATATTAAGTAATCATTACATGTAATATAAGAAAGTACATGATGGCCTCTCGATTTCAATATGGCTATACCCCTTCTTCCAAAGAGATATGACTGATGTGTTTGATTTCAATTTCATATATTTTTGGCATGGGCAAAACTCTGTTCTTACAACCACCTCTATTAATAATATGATCTGATATTGTTAGTGTTGAGAACAGTATTACAACATTTGAATAAAAGCAGTTGCAATTTTTTTTTACAACTTTTGCAAAGTTCTTCATTTTTTATCAGCAAGTATATTTGATAGCCAGGCTTGGAACACACATCATAAAACAACCCAAATGTTTTGTATTTATAGCAAGCATTGATACATACAATATTGCCAATTAAAAGTACAAGATCAAATTGACTCATCTAGTTAATTGCTTTGTTTAAATCTCAGCTAGTTAATTGCTAGTGTTTACTGTTGTGAAGAAAATTTATGAAGTGCACCATATTTCAGACTTCAAAAAGCATTTGAAGCACTTTTTTGCATTGGTCTCTCCTTCCTTGCATCTGTACCATTGCCTCATGTAAATTATTTCCTAGTGAATTGTCAGTGAGCTTTCATTGGTAAAGTTGTTTCTCTTAGTTTAATTTTCAGTAAATAATGAAATTGAACAAAATAACCTACTTTACAATGGAAGGAGACGGGGGCACCATCTGTTATAAAAATGTACTTTTGTAAAGCCTTATTTTTTCTTTTTAATTCTATTAATATTATGTGCTAGAATACCGTAAGGGGTACTATTATTTTTAAATGCACTCGATTAATCGATTTGTCAATCTCCTGCAATTATAACAAATTTATTAAATATATTTTGCCTTCAAACACGATATTTGAAAATTAAAATGATATTATTCTTCTAACATAGAGCATTTTGCATGCCAATGCTGTGTACCGAGACTAATTTCATCACAAAAATCATTAGACTTCAATATTTTAGGCAATGCAAAAACATCAAATAAGTGAATAAATAGTAGATACCAACACAGTAAATAATAATAATAATAATAATAATAATAATAATAATAATAATAATAATAATAATAATAATAATAAAAACACAAAATTTGGTATTTCCACAAGCATTGTCATTGTCCAAAGTACAATGAATGAAAATTTTTAGTAATATATTTGTTTATAATAATCATAGTTCTTTTGAAAATTTGTTCAGCTACCTCCTTATGAAATCAATGAATGTAAATGAACAGTATTCCAAGATATGTCTTCTTGCCTTTCAGTTTTATATAGAATTGTGGGTTTTGTTTCTTATTTTACTTCTATTAGAACTGTTTTGAAATAAAATATTTTATTATTTTTCTGTACTTTAGTATTCTCATTATTTACTTTACATTGACTTAAAATCTCCAATACCTTTTATGCCATAAGAATATTTCTTAAGTAGCACCATGATAATGCAATTCACTTGAAATCGCTTTCATCAAATGCATTTTGATGCTTAGGAACTGAGAGAGTCGGAAGACGAACTTACAATCCTCAATGAAGATGTGGCTTTGCTGGCCACAATGACTGCTGCCAACAACAACAACAATAATAATAACAATAATAATAGTAACAACAATAACAACAATAACAAGGCAGTATCCCCGCCACTGTCATCGGAAGATGAAAGTGATGTAGAAAGCTTACATAGCTTTCATTATAGCCCAAAGGCTGTGGATATCCCTTCAGCTAATCGCTTGGCAAAGCGTCTTTTTATGTTAGATGGTTTCAAGAAATCTGATGTATCAAGACATCTGAGTAAAAAGTAAGATTGAATAGAATATTGAAATTTATTTTTAAATTTTGTATTCTTTGTTTTTATATTTTGTGTGTTGAATGAAAATAGGAAATTTATATTATTATTATTATTATTTGTATTTAAGGCAAATTTGTTCTTTGCCTTGAGATTGGCTTGTTTTTGCAATAGTTTTTAATTAGATTTACAATCCTACAAATTTTTCTGTCCTTGATTACAAAATAGAGAAATGTAATGTATATCGTAATAATTGCAATAACATTTTAAATTGTCTAATTTTTATTAAAATGTAACGAGTCTTCAAAAACCATTTAAAAAAATATTTTTTTATCAAACTCATGAATTTATATTAGAAAGAAATCTCAATTTGTTTTTAAAATATAGACCAATTTTTGGAGAGCATTATAACACTTCCTGTAAAAATCTATAATTGTATTTTTCAGAAAAAAACTATTGAAGTTGAAACTATTAAAAGAAAAGAAGTTTTCAATGACAATACTTTTTTTTTTTAACGATATTTAATGTATAAATTCAACATTGATAAATGAATTCTCTATACAGCAAAAAATTCAGTTTTCCTCATTAAGTGGATCTTGGAGAAAATTATAGAAATTGCATGTTTATGTGCAGTTATTTATACAAGAAGTTGAAATATTAGAAGTATACAAGTTGAATATATGTGTTATACTTTCTGTTTGTTTACACTTTCGTTAACATCATTGATGTTTACTAAGTGACTATGAAAAAGAATGTGCTATTTTGTTAGTTTTGCCTTTTTTCACCCTAGTTTTGTTTTATTGCCTTTCAACATATGAGTGCTTTATGAAGAATTTGAATTCAAAAAACCCATTTCTGGAATTCAGTAAAATTGTTTTTGTACATTGTGGAGTTACGAAAGAAATCATATCATTCTAATATTATACCAGAGATAACATTTTAAATTATGTGAATTAATGTAGATTGGTTAAAAAACAATTTTTCATAAAATGGAGATCATTTTTTTTTTATGCGAGGTGCACAGATGAAAATAATATTACCTGACAGTTTAAGTGATATTAAGGTTGCTGCTCTCTATATTCCAAATCAAATTAGAACAGATGACAAATTGCAATAATAATTCACTTGTACATTAGGACATGTAGTGTTATCAAGAAACAGTAGTATTACATTGCATTATCCTAGGGAATGTGAAATGTCTGCTGTCATTATTTACATCTGAATGCCTTTTTTATTCAAAGGAGAAAGGGATCATATTTTATTTTACTCTCAGTATTAATCTTTAATTATTGTTCTCATTTTAAGGAAATAATAATTTGTTCATTACTTTTCAGCAATGATTTTAGCCGAGTAGTGGCAGAAGAATATTTGAAATACTTCAATTTTGAAAACGATACTTTAGATATAGCACTTCGTAAGTTCCTTAAGCAATTCAGCCTGACTGGAGAAACACAAGAGCGAGAAAGAGTTCTTGTCCATTTTTCTAAACGCTACCTGGACTGCAATCCTGGTTCCTTCAATTCACAAGGTATTGTTTGTGCAAATTGCTTAAATGTTCTTCTTGAGGGGAATGCTAGTTAACAAAGTCTTTACATCCAGATGCTGTGCACACATTGACGTGTGCAATCATGCTGCTCAACACTGACCTGCACGGTCAGAATATTGGTCGAAAGATGACTTGTACTGAATTCATTGAAAATTTATCTGAACTGAATGATGGCGATAATTTTCCTCGAGAAGTTCTCAAGTTACTCTACCATGCTATTAAAACATACCCCTTGGAATGGGCATTGTAAGTTGTGGGTAGTATTTGATTATTTACTTTTAAATAAAGCTTGTATTCAGGACTTCTCAAACCTTTTTTCATCTTCAAATCCAGGGAATCGGTTATTTGCTTTCAAAACTCCTCTCTTGGTCTCCTAAATACTCATTTGTAGCTGTTTTTTGGATGAATCATTAAATACATTTGCACAAGCGTCATTTAATAGAACTGTGCTTAAGAATACTTTCTGTGAGCTCTAAGCAAAAAAATCTTTAAATGTAAATTGAGAAACATCATTGAAGAACACTTGTGTCAAGAAAATTGTGAACAAAATTACCAAAAGTAGGTTTTTCAAACAATCCTTTATATCAGAATAATGTACTTCTTTGTGGAATATAGTTAGTACATTCAAAATACAGATGTATCTATGTTCAGAAGAAAATGTTATTTGATAAATTAATTGATTAAAAATTAAAATTATTACCTAGATATATCATCAATTCATTTAAATAAACTTATCAGTATGTTCAGAAACCACAAGGAAGATAATTGTTAGTATGTGAAAAATTTAAAATAAGATAAACATTTGAATTCATTAATTTATTTTTGGAGTGTGGTTTTCCCTAAAGGAATCATACGCACATAGTTTGAGAAGCCCTTCAATTTATGGACTGATTAAAATATGGAATGATTAAAATTTTAAAATTTAAATATCTGATAATTTAATTTTTCTTATTTTCATTTTATCTTTTAATTAGTTTTTGAAACTTAATATTGATGGTAAGTTCAAAATAATTTATTTGTATTCAGATATATACATTAATCTTCTTTCTTGTTTTAACATTAATTAAATTTTCAAAACTCATTCTTCAAGGCTTGATTATAAATCACAAATGTATGGTATGCTAATTAAGAAATTTTGAAGATTAAAAAAATTGCCTTGAATAACTTGTAGGTATTAAATAGAGCACAAAGTAGTTTCAGAATGAGGGATAAGTAACAGAATATATGGATTTTAAGTTTTTTGACAAGAAAGAAGGAGAATGTAATGCATATATCTATTCTGTTTACTTCTAGTTGGGTTAATGTAATTTTACTCTCAAATTATTTTGATGTGTTTTGATTTATTCTACGAGTAATGAGTGAAAAATGTCAGTAACAAAAATGTAATTTTTATAGAAAAATTATTTATTTTCATTAGTTTGTTCTTAGATTTCATCCTTAATAAATAGATTTTTTTTTAAATCTTCAATATTGTGTCAGTTAATAATTATAATACGAGTTCTCATTTTTAAGACAATCAAAATGGATGGGAAAACATCCAAAAAAAGTCAGCAGAAATACAAATGTTTAATTTACATTTTTTATTTACACTATTTTGCTTTCTTTCCTTAAGTTTATAAAAGAGAAAGTGTTGTAATTATGCACTGAAAAACAGAATTTTCAACTCTTATTGCCTGGTCCTGGTAACGAAAAGTAGATAAATCTTGTTCATATGTGTAGTAAATTATTTTCTCTTACATGAGCAGTCAAAATCCATGTTTATTGTGTCCTTGATATCCAAAAATCAAGTGTCAGCAAAAAGCATCTGTCTGTTTGTGTCTTTCTTTCTCTGTGTGTGTCTTTCTCTCTGTCTGTGTGTGTCTTTTTCTCAGTCTGCGTGACTTTTTCTCTATTTTCTCTTTGTATGTATTAGAGAACTGTAAAACACATGGTACTAGTCTCCTTTCCTGTGAACTATGTGGTTTTGAAAGTTGCAAAAATTTAACATTTCAAAACCAATGTTGAAGTTAGAAATTTTGCCTTGAACAAAATCCTAAAAAATCAGCCCTTAAAGGAAGATCATGCACTCTTATCTTTTTTTAATCCTTTTCATGTAATGGGGCTTGAAATTAATACAATTTATGGTATGCTTGTATTAATGCAATTTGTGGTGTTACAGAATGGCACAGATTTCTCATAGTAAAGTTTTCAAATTTCCTTGGTGTGGACTAACTTCAGCCTTGCCCCATCACTGTGCCAGCTGCCATCATCATCATCATCATCATTATTATTTATTACTTTTTTTATTTTTATTTATACATTTTCTCACTTTTTCAATTTCATTATAGTAGAACCAAAATATTACTTAAGAATACTCAAGAAAAAGTAAAACTTTGTCATAAATGGCAATTTTTATTAAAAAATTTGGATTTTTTTTTAAGAAAATGGCATTTAAGTGTTGCTGTTAATGCAAAATATTAAAAGGTTTTTTTTTCACAGTAAATTTTTGATGTTTTCGAAAAACTTCATTTATAATCGTTTGAGGCGCTTTAACTCAGAAATGAAAAAAAGTTTTGTAATTGCTGGAAATGTGCATATTAATGATGTGTGAGATATTTTTTTTATAAATTAATTCATGTAATTTTTGAAAAAAACAAAATAATACACGAAAATGAACTTTGGGTCCTTTTTAACAGTGCAATTAGCACTACCCGTTGGTAAACGTTGGAAAAGTCGGAACGTTGGAAACGTTGAAAACATTGGAAAAGTTTGAAAAAGGTCGCAAAAAGGCGACCGAAACGTCGGCACCTTCGCCATGGACGCGGCTTCACCCGGACAGCCTAGTAAACACTTACTCAAAAAATTTGGAGCCAATTGTGAGAAAATGGCATTTGAGTGTTTCTGAAAATGTGGAATTTTGGGCTCATTTTAACAGGAACTGTTAAAACTTTTTTTTTTTTTTTTTTTAACTTACTTTATGACATTATTTGAAGCACATTAACGCATCATAAATACAATAATGTGAACAAATTGCCATTAATGGAAATAATAACAATATGAGAGACAAGTCAGAAAAATTACACTTCTGTAATTTTTTTAAAAACAAATGAATACAGCAATATGGTGTTTATGTCATCTCATAAAGAACATTTAGCACTATTCCCAGTACAAGTTAAAAGAAAAAAATTTTGTGCCATTTTCTGGAAAATTTTGTTTTTGCTATTTTTAAAAATTGCGCAAATTGCACGCAGTATTGAGTGAAAACTGCTAAAAGTTTCAAAAAAATATACATTACCTTAGTGATAGATTAAAACCTTAATGATAGAGGAAAAAATTTCTATCTTCAATTTTGTGGTTATAGGATGATGCCAAAAAATAAACAGATTTTCCATAGTATTACATAACTTTCTCTATACTAAGTATATTACTCCGTGTATATGTACATATATGAGAAAGTAAAAAAACACAATCTCTCAAAAAGGTGAAGAACTATTGCATCAAGGAAATAGTATATGCCCAACAAGTCAAAAACAGTGTAAAAAAAGTGATTTATACATCTGGATTTCTTCGGAATTTTATTTAGATGATTTTTTTACCATCAATTCAGATTGTCATCGAAAAACTGGATTTATAGTATAATTGAACAATATTGAATTCACAATTTAGGGTATTTCTGGATTGTCGCATTTGTCACTCCTTGTTGGGAACTGTAAGGACTAACTTCCAACTCGTCCTTTGACGCTCCCCCTAACGTGTGTAAAGTCATTACCGTCATCCACTACACATTCAGTCAGAATACAGCCACATTAAAAAGCATTAGTAGAAAGTTATATCAGAACTAATGTTCAGGGAAAATTATGTTTTATTTATTCTGACTGAAAATATTCTAAAGAATAGCACTGCTCTGTGTAATTTTTTTAGTTTAGAAATTATATTTGTAACTTTTAAATGTATAACATTCATATCTCAATTGTTAAATAGAATCTCTGCTTTCGCAGCTTTCTTATGTCAATGAGGGCAAATGTGTATTAAGGGTTTCATCGTCAGATGAAGTAAACGCGCATACCAATTTATATTACAAATCACTTAACATATCATTAAAATACAATGATACCATATTTCTTTAGAATTTGTAATTTTGGTATGATCTTCCAGAAACTTGACAGATTCATAAGAAGCTTTCTAACATAATTCAGACTGTATTATTTCAACATGACTTTGAAAATCCTTTTTGCTGAAAGAGCAGGCCGATACAGTATGTTATGTATTTCACTTTAAATGTTGCACGAGGAAGAAAGTGTTTTCCACGTCTAATTGGAGAATGCATATCTTTTTAATTTTTTGATTTACCTGGAAATAATTAGAAACAATTGCTAATAAAGGCATTAATTACTGGCACATAGTGAACATAAATTTTCTCCTGTTTAAATTAACTTAAACTTATTACAATTGAATACACTTTTATAATTTTCTCGATAAAGTGTGAACTTCCCCAACTCTTACATTTCTAAAGACGTTTCTAAATATGATTAATTGAAATAGAAAATAAGGGAAAGTATACTACTCATAGGTATGTCTGGAATAACTCCAGGAGTTTCAAAATTTGTTGCTCCTGTGAGACCTTTTGAAGAGCTTATTTGGTAGTACAGCTGCTCCATTGTAAGTCAAAGATAGTATCAAAATATGTAGTCAAGACCATACTTAAATGCTACTCTCCAAAAGATATTAAAACTATGTACATACAAAATTTGAGCAAGGTGAATGCATTTAATAAAATTTAGCCATTAGTGCCTTTTATGAAACATCATTATTTCCGTGTCTTCTGATAAAACGTGTGGAACACAATTTTACAAAACCCTGGTATTAGCTCTTTAGTTAAAAACAAACAATCTAGAACATAAGCTTACATCACAATTGCTTCCACACCTAAACAAGTGATATTTTTCCACTAGAGATGAAGATGGTGATGAGTGTGGTTCTCAACTACAACAGAAGCAACCATCAGAAAATCAGCAAAATCTTGCTGGAAATAATCCTTTTCTTGACGTCCCCAATGCTGCTACCGCTATTGAATACAAGAAAGGCTATGTTATGCGTAAAAGTTGTGTGGATCCAAATGGCAAAAAAAGTAAGTGATTCTTGCATTTAATGTAAAATATAACATGTGAAATTAATTTAACTATGACATGAAATGATAATTGTGGATGATTTCCACCTAACCTTCTACCTCCCTATGCTGCCTATGTTGTATGGGTATGCCACCGATATTAACTCGCCTAGGATCTCTCCAAGCACTGCAATGTACCAATTCCCTATCTCAAAATTCACAAAATAAGGAGAAAGTGATTGCAATATGTTTCACAACAGTGATATTTATTTAGTATTTATTCAACATAACTATTCACTGTTGGAAGAGTTGCCTCTGTTATATTCAGTCTGCATGTGTTCTGGACTTCTTTAGTTGCTTCCACAATCTACTCCCACTTGTGACTTTTCTTCCTTGTTTCCACATGCTTTTTTTCACAAAACAGTTGCAATTTGTGAATCCCCAAGAAAAATGATGTGTCACAATTATAACTTTTGAAGAAAATGGAAATGAATCTGGCATAAAAATTTATTTTTTCTGTTCATGCCATGCTGATAAACACCTTCAAAGTTGCACCAGTGGCATCTTCACTTCCTAATATGTGTAATAAAAACTTATCACTCATTATGGATCGTATGTACTTCTATTTTACGTCTTTTGCACCTTTTGGTACCTACAGATATCCCCTCTCTTCGCTGAAACTTGTTACACCAGATGTAGCCATCATTGAATCTATCTCCCTATTCAATGTGCCAATGTGGCTCGTGTAACCATTTTAGTTAGTGTACATACGTACAGCGTTGCAGAACCTTAGCTCATAAACCCATTGTGCTTGACTTGTATTAGGAAAAGAACTAGAGTACACCTAAATAGCACTGATGCTGCAGCCTTTACGTCATGCACCTGGTCTTGACAGGGAAGAGGAAGAGGAAGGAAGTAGGAAAGGAAAGGATTTGAGGTTAAAGGTGGTGCACCAAAGATGTATTGTTAACTTGGACCCTACTACCCCATTCTCACTATGGGAAAAGGGACATTGTGCATTGAAATGTTTGCTCAATCAAGGGAAATGAAACCTGGAAAAGTGGAGCCAACATAGAACTGGAAGAACTATTTAAATCTGATATATTTATACATGAACTAAGGTGAAAAGCATTGAATAGGTGGGTCATAATCCAAGTGAATGAAGAAAGAGCAGCTTTTAAAAAATATACTACATATGAAGCATGGCCAGGAGAGGTAGAGGTAGGCCTAAATTAAGACGGAATGATAAAGTGAAGAAAGATTTAAGAAACCCGAATTCAAAAAGATGGCAAACAAAAGCACTAGGAAATGTGCTATTATAATAAAAGAAGCCAAACTATGAGAGACTGAATGTTGATATAAGAGGAATGAAGCATAATGTGCTAGGAACATACACTATGTAATAACTTACAGTTTCATAACCTTCTGGGATTCAAATCTGTACCTCAGATGTAGACTGAACTTGTACACAAATGCCCCAAGCCCCGGTGCCACTGAGGCTGGACAGGACTGGAAGAAAGACAGTTGAAAGGAGGTGTTAGTAGGGAGAGCCCCATAATGCCACACCCCACAAGCACACCTCCTGGTCTGAGATGGGATTTGAACTCACAACCCTGCAAACTGAGTGTGCTAAGGTGCTTCTTGATCTTGGTAACTCACATGGAAGTTAATTCTCTAAAGTTCTCCGCATGTAGTTTGTTGTAATTTATTAGCAAATTAATAAAAAAGGTCCCTAAAACAATAAAATTTAATCTCTGGAAGCTGGATAAAACATTTGTTTGGACAGTTTGGAGTAATGTCTTTTTATAATTATTTATTTCAACAGAAAGAAGGTTTTCCATTGAATTACAAATAACATATGTTACAAATCAAGGTAAAGATGTAATTCATGTATTGGTACAGACAAAAAGTGCGCATTTAAATTTACAAATTAAATTAACTTGATGATACAAAACAAAAGATACACTACAATCAGCAATGTAAAATATTTTATTATTATTGTATTTTAAAAAATGTTTACATGAATGAATTAAAATGAATGATTATGAGAAGGGCTGAGGCCATCAGGTCCAGGTGAGTGAGCAGTGAAGGCTTCCTGGGGGAAGAAAAACACACAAAAGGAAGGCGGAAAGAATTTGAGGAGTTAATGAATGTGAGAGCTAGCCAACTAGAGGGGTGAAAGAACAGGGATTAATAATTTCAAATTAAAAGGTCAAAATTAGTAAATACATTATGTCAAGAGGTTCTTGTTAGTTTAGGTTGGAATCATTTTCTCTTTGTAGCAGATTGAAACCCATGAATTGAATTGAGTATTTCTGATGTGGGAGATGGGTGACAAAATGTTACTGTGGGAGGAGAGGTATGAGTTTAGGTGGAAATCACATGTGCAAACATATTTATGCTAATAAGCAAACAGTATGTACTATTACGTATAACATCGCTATCTGGAAATATTTATTATAATGAGACTTACAATTTACTACCTCTTTTTATTTTTTGATAGTGTACTCTTTTTTGAGGGTAAGTCTTAAAAAAAATATTTTTTTATATTATAATTATTCTGCTGACTGCATGGACAATTCTTCTTTCTTCATATATTAAAAGTTTCCTATTAGGGAATTCTCAGGAATAAAAGTGACTTGAACTGTAAAATTATTTAAACTTTTTAAAGAGAAGTATGTTAATAAAATATCATTTTTTTCCAGCACCGTTTGGCAAAAGAGGATGGAAAATGTTCTATTGTACTTTGAGAGATATGGTTCTTTATTTGCACAAGGATGAACATGGTTTTCGTAAAAGTGCCCTAAGTGACAACCTTCACAATGCGATTCGAATACACCATGCCCTGGCCACTAAAGCTGCCGACTACACGAAAAAGCAGCATGTGTTCAGACTTCAAACTGCAGATCAGGCAGAGTATTTGTTTCAGACAAGGTAAGACCATGAATATGTACCTGCTGATTATTTGCTTTGAAATGTAATTTCCAATACTAATTTGAGATTTTGGATCCAATGCATTGGGTTCAGTTAACTGTAAACTACAAATCAAAGTTGTATTTATCTTCCTAATATGTTACTATTCCTGCAGTAGTTACAATCAAAACTATCTAACAGGAATGAACAAATTTCAATTTTCAGAGAGTAATTTTACATTCTTGCTACTGATTACACAGCTAAGGAAAAGTATTGTAATGCAGCAGGAGAAAACTGCAAATTTTTGACAGAAAAGCTTTAATTACTGTGTCTGATAATGAAAAGTTGATAAATCTTGACCCTATATTTAGGAAATTACATCCTCTAACATGTGTTAGAGGATGTAATTACTACGTATAGGGGCAATGAACATGAGACCTGCACCATTATCTTAAGTGTCCTTTAAGGCGTCTGAAGTCAAAATTTAATAAAAAAATTTGAAACGATTTGTTTAAAAGTGTAAAAATTTCTCAGAGTCTTCATGTAAAATTAAAATATTGGCTTCAAATTCAAGGGGCAGTGACGTCGTTCAGGTCGATTGGGAAATATCAATATTGGAGAAAATTGGCTCAATGGTTTAGCTGCTAGCATTGTTCACAGACAGATGGACAGTCGTTTTGCCGTCAATTGATTTTTGCTTTCAAGGATCCACAAAACATGGATTCTGACTACACAATGGATTAGTTGTAATTTATTACATATAGGGACAAGATTTATGCCCTTTTTCAGTACCAGAACCCAGAGTTTGTCTGTCGACAATTTGCCGTTTTTTCCCTCAGCAGGACAATACTTTCCCTATTCTGCATAGTAGTGAGTATTTTGAATACCCCTTCCCCACAGATAAGCACCAGTAACGCACGCTTGATCTCCCCCAAAATAATTACCTAACACTTGAGAACCCCCCTCTTTAAATAAAAAAAAAAAATTATATCACAGAAAAAACAATTTGTATTTATTATATTTGTGTTCTATTTGAAAATTTATGATAAATAATGTCAGATTAATTGGTGATGCTGACCACACATAACAACATTGGGAACAAGTGCTATGTGAAGAAAGGATGCGCAGGCGTGAAAATTTGCTACAAGCCATGTGCATGCCATGGATGATGCATGCGCAACAATCCACTGCACCAATTTAATTGGATTCTAGAATATGTGATAAATCAGTTTTCAATATTCTCTTCGAAATCTTACAGATTGTATTCATTTATTGTAACAAATTACACAATTAATTTTAAATTATTAATATTTTTTAAGTAATTAATATTTTTAATGTTTTGGTATATTGAACAAAAAAGTTTTGTGTTTTTTTTTTCACCTGATGTCGAAACATTAAATATTTAAATCAAGGCTCTGATTACCATACCCCCAGTTCTTAAACGAGCGCGCGCGCGCGCGCGAGTGTAGCATTATGTAATTTATGGACGACCCTTAAGCAGTAGTGAGAAAGTAAAAATTAAAAAAATTATAAATTGACTATGTTTTATTAAAAAACTACAATATTTTAGAAAAATTGTACATGATCTTTAAAAACGGATTTTGTAATAAGAACTTATTTCACAAAAAAAAAATTGCTATCTTCAATATTTTAGATGTAGAATTTGCCGGAAAAATTGAACTTTTGCAATTTTTGAAAAATAATGAATTTTATCAAAAATTCATTTTATTCAATATCTTTTACACAAACTTTACAACAATAAATTTTAAACAAAAAAATTGGTGCCAGTGCTGTTACAGTTTTAAAAATGTTCTTGTGGCTTCATGTTAAGTGCCCCCCAAAATTAAAATATTGGATTCAAATTAAAGGGCCGCGACATCAACCAGATTATTTGTGGAATTTCAATTTTGGTGAATACCCTGCTTATGATTTTGTCGCTAGCATTGATGGATATTTTTGCTGTCAATCAATTTTTTCATATAAGAAACACAGATGGGTTCTGACTAAACAAATCATAAGAAGAATTTTACTATTATAGTGATAAGATTTACACACTTTTTGGGTACCGGGGCCTGGCAATAAGAGTTTTTCTGTTGAAAGTTTGCTTTTCTCCCCTTCCCCCTGCAGCTTCACAATACTTTATAATGCACAAGCAGTAGCATGAAAATGAAAAACAAATACGCTGAAAAGTTTTTGTGGAGTGTGGACAGCACACACTCTGTACGACTAATCTGCACGAAAACTGTACAATGTTTAAATGGCCTTAGAGCATTGCTATACAAAACGTTGAAAGGAAAATGCACTGCTCAATGAATTAAATAATTTAGAAAAGAAAAAGAGGTTGGTGTTTTTTGTTGTTGTTTTTTGTTGCATAGGGAAATGATCTCAAACGCTAATAGAAAATGTATAATGCACATGACAACAAAACATATCCGATACCTCAAGTCAGATATTTTTACTTTCTTGTATACGTACATATGTATTGAATAGTATATGTAGTATAGTGAAAGTTGTGTAATGCTGGCCGAAAAAACAGCGGATTTTCAGCAGCAAAAAAAAAGTCATTGCCAAACCCTGATAATGAAAAAGGGGTAATTCCAGTTGATAAATTAAGAGAAAAAATCCTCTAACACGTTGTGTAGCCAGAATCTTTGTTTTGTTGGTCCTTAATACCAAAATACCAATTGACGGCAAAACGTTCGTCCGTCTGTCTCTGTCTATCCTGTCTGCCTGTCTGTCAGTGAATACCACTAGTGCCTAAGCCATGCCGTAGGATTTTTTCCAAATTAACGAAATCCCTTACTTTCTCATCGTACTATGTAGGTAGTAACGAGAAAGTATTGTTATCTTGCAATGGAAATCGGTGAAATTTTATCAGAAAAACCTATTGTCGTTCTCGGGAACGAAAAAGTGGATAAACCTCTTTTCCTTTATGAACTAAATTACTTCCTCTAACACATTATGTAGTCAGAATCCATGATTTGTGGGTTCTTAATACTGACAAGTTGATTAACTGTAAAACATTCATTCATCCATCCATCCATCCATTCCTCCTTCCGTCCATAGTCAAAGCTTGTTCCTAAACCGTTTAATCGATTTTCTCGAAAATTGATATTGATGTCAAATGTAATAAGCAAGAGCATCTTAGAGAAATAAGGTTGTTGCAAACAAATTAGTTTGACAAAGAAAAATCATCCAAGTTGTATTTTGAGGATTTTCAAGTTTATTTTCTACTCCAACATCCAACTTCTTTGTCCATTTTTCGATGTACATCCAAATGTTGTTGAAAATTGCTCGTGCATAGGGTGTGATAGAATGTGACTTATCTCTTCGGCCAGGGTTCTGGCACCGTTAGTAAATGTCCAGGAATTCATCGTTTCTGACTTGCTTAACTTTCGTAACTTCATAGAGTATAATTAAACCATTTGGATAACGTCACCGGATATCATATATAGCAATGTATAACAGTTGTATTTCGTTTGTGTTAAATGTTGGCAAAAGGTCAGTCAGAAAGTACCTCTCTGAAGCTTACACTACCACAATCGATTACCACAAAAACATATGCCAACATATTGAAAGATTGATTGTGCAAATACAATTTAATTTCTCTTTAAACATCTGAGGAATGAATGGTGAATTTGTGTAATTAATTGTCAGTTTCATCATTCTACATCATTGTACATTTGTTGTGGTGGTAACTGATTGAGGTAATGCCTCCAGCTTACTCTTATGATAGCTCACTATTAATAACGCAAAATTTTAAATGCAATGAAATTAAGTTTTGTGATTAGCTATTCAATAGTTATAAATGGGGGCATATTTGTTTTTGAAGTAATCGATTATGGTAGTGCCAGCTTAAGAGAAGTTCAGAAGATAACGCTTATCTTTTTTTTTCCCTCCAGAAAATCAGCTCTTGAGTATATCTAAAGCAGTTAATACAATTTCAAGCTGTTTATGGATTCCACAAATTATTTAATGTAGAATATGTATTGTATTGTGTGATTTTTCAACACTGATGGTTGATTTATGAAGTGTTGTAAGCTTCTATTTTATATTTTGGAGAGAAACTGTGTGCATCTTAAATAGTTTTATGTATAAGTGGACATTTGCCCGATCAAATAAATGAATTGGTATTCTTTTGGTATAAATTGATCTCTATTTTCAATGTTGCAGTGACTCCAAAGAGCTTCAGTCGTGGATAGACACCATAAACTTTGTCTGTGCAAGTTTCTCAGCTCAACCATTGGCAGGTGCTGTGGGCTCTCAACGCAAGTTTCAGAGGCCACTATTGCCATGCAGTCACACAAAGCTGAATCTTGTAAGACAAACAATCAAATATAAGTTCAGAATGTTATTTGTATTCCAAATCACTTTTGTCATGAAGTTTTTCAATTGGTCTTGGATTAACCTCCCTTGGTTTAATATGTATTTATGACAGTTCGTCCAGACACAGCGTCCATACAGATGTCGACTATTTTTCTCTTTCCGTGCTACAAAGGATCGAACAATGCCTTCTGCTTACAGCTGTGTGCATCTGTATCTGCTATGTAGTTGTTGAGATCCATTGGTGTTTCTGGGTGCTTCACCTGCCAATGTCTTTAGGCCCATAAGTGTAGGGAATATTTTTTATCACTAGAGGTGGCGTTAATGTCACAAGGAATGGCGAAATCTGGAGCCAACCTGCTTGAGCATTTTACAGCATCTGCTGTAAAATAAGAGAAATGAATGTGTTGTTGTTTCATTTGATATGTATTAAAATCATCTGTAAGTATCAAAAACAGGATTTTCCTCAACTAGGTATCCCCAACCAGTCGCCAGGTAGCACCACCCAAGCTAGGGTCATGCCCTAAGCTTCTGACATGTGTGATAGCGTGGTGCATGAAAGTGTGTGTGTATGTAAGGGGTGGGGATATGACAAAGAAGAGAAAGGAAAGATCATGTGCAATCCATCCATTTTGCAGATCATTAGCCCATTGTTGATCGGAGAAACCACAGAATACTACCGATCAAAGCAGCCGGCTTCTTTTGAGCTTGAGAGCTTCTCCTCAAGCCAGCAACCGAAATCGACCTAGCTATGAAGCTCCTGTCACTGTCGCGACTTGAACCATATGACCTCCCAGACAGAGGCACTGCAGTAACATCAGTTGCTACCCTTAGTCACATTAAGTCGATGTAGTGGTAGAGTTATGTGCAGGGGTGGATATGGGTTCTGGAGGTCCTCAAGCACGAAATGGTGTTGAGGCGATCTTACAGAGATTCTCTAGGTTTACCAAAAACAAAACCCCAAACCAACTAGTATTGATACAACAGCTCATACTTTCTTAATTATTTCTAACTTTTGTAATTTTCGAAAATTCAAAAAGTTTAAAAAAAACTTAGACCTGCGTCAGTTTTGAAGTATCAATTACTCTAGACAAGGAAAATGCAAAGAAATAAGTTTTCAAGGGCTTTTGAGAATTTTTAATAAAATTAAGTAACTTCTAGCAAAAATTGCACGAAAACTACAATTTTATTATTTTTATTTAAACATTTAAAATTTTTAAACAAATTTTGATTAAGAAAAACATATACAAGAAAGCACATACTGCTTTATCCCAACTAGTCCTTTTCCTTTTCTACCATACCTTCTGCATGCAGAAGTGTGCATCAGTATGTGGTTGTATTTGCTGTGTAATGATTGTGTTACTTGTGTAGTCTTATGCGTTCTATGAACACAGTGCATACCATAGGAAGCAGACATGGAAACCAGGCCTTAAAAAATGAATTATGTGCTCTTTAAGTTTGATATCAAATTTTTAATTCATTCTCTGAGTCAAGATACTCACTTTTCATCGTCACAAAACCAAAAAAGCAAACTAGACTTGAGGACTTAATTCATATCCTGCAGAACTTTCAGCTGGACCCTTTCAGAATCAAACTTTACAGTTGGGCTATATGACTAGAGAGTTAGCGCATGATCCTTAGATTGGATTGGTGCATGTGGGGGTAGGGGCTCTGCGAGTCCTTAATAGATTTCCACAGGGCAGTGAGAGATAGCAAACCATAGCAATGCTGTAAAATAAGAGAAATTAATGTGTTGTTGTTTCATTTAATATTTATTAAAATCATCTGTAATTATCAAAAACAGGAAGTATGCCTCTTGCAAGAGGAATGTCTGGAGGAGACTGGATGTAATTATTCAAATTAATTTGACAATTAGTGTGCGATAGTTAGATATTAAATAGTAATCTCTACCAGTTTTCTGCTTATTGATAAAATACAATTCAAAATGGTTTGAAGTTTAACATAGAAATTGTGGCATGTGGCTGGTCACTCATCCAGGTGGTTGTTGCAAAGAGAGAATATTTACTTGTATCTTATATTATTAAAATAAATTATAAAATTAATCAGTTGTAGGAAAACTGGCCACGGACGTTGAGACCACTTAATCGAGATTGCCTTTTCATCCGATTTCACTGTGTTAGTTATTTTGTTTACTCGAACCCCACAATTTGATATTACTTTTCTGATGGACTGTTGTTGTGCTCTTTCATTTTATTCTCATGTTTCCTCTTAGAGAGAGCAGCTTCGAGACCATGAAGAGAGGGTGCTAAAGTTGGAAGCAGAATTGGAAGAGCATAGAAAATATCCACCAGAAAGAAGTGCAAAATCATTGAACATTCAGAACTACAGGGAAAAGGATGTGTACCTACATTATGAGGTATATTGTGTGTTTAATTTCCAATATTATCTACTAATTATTAGTAATTTTGATTGTGAATTACTGTCTCTCTATTTCTCTCCCTTTTTTGCTCTTTCTCTATATTTGTATATAAAAGTTTTGGAAATTGTGTTCATTATATTTTGAAAAAGTTAATCGTACAGTAAAATAAAAATTAGCTTTGGGGAGTGTGGGGAGAGAAACTATTGCATATGCAAAGAGAAAAAAAGAGAAAAGAGAAAAAAGGAAAAAAAAGGGGGGGGGGGGAACCCTCAAAAAACCCAGAGTTCATATTTTACACTTTTTTTAGTATATTTTTTCACTCAATTTCCAGTCATTGATGGTTGCTTTACAAACTTCTAAATCTGTAGCTACAGTTAGAGCTGATTCTTCTTTGCAAAAGCAAAGTTTGAACAGCAAATCCGTAGCATATTGAATTCAGGGATGTTCCAAACTCTTAGAATTGATGACATTATCACTCAAGCCACACACCAGCCTGCAGAGTCTAATTTATACACATCCAAGAATAAATTTTTGAATGGGTTATTCCATTGTTTCTTTTTTCTGGTAACAACCTTTATAAATCAGGTCTTGGATATTCACATATCTATTTGTGATTTACTGTATAATTCACTCTTTCGAATCTATTTTAAGTTTATAGAAATTTGTAAATTGTCTCTAGCTCTTGCACTCTCTTCTCATACTTTTTTTCTTTGTCTCTCCTTAATCTTCTTACCACTCTCTTTTCTTTATTTTTGAACCAAGTCCTTTACTTTCAGTGCAGTTTTGGATTTCGCATTTAATATTGATGGTAAATAGTTTTGACCTCAAATCCTGAACATTTTTGTATGCAAAAATTTAAGTTCTCATCTCCAACAGTGCAATCATTTCTTGTTCAGTTTTTGTTCTAACATGGAGGATCCAATATAAACCCAGTGTTGTCGTGAACTGTTTGAAGTACTAGTTACAATTTTTTAGAGTTCATTTATTACTTTCTTGTGTGTAGTATAACAAGAGGTATGTAATGCTGCAAAAAATTGGTGTTGACATTTTGACAGAAATTTGCATGTTGGGGTTCCCAGGCACCTAGTAACCACTCTCTCCCTTTTTCTCCCTCTCTTTCTTCCTTCCTCTTTCTTCCTTTCTCTCTCTCTCTTTTTTCTCTCTCTTTTTTTCTCTCTCTCTCTTTTTTCTCTCTCTTTTTCTCTCTCTCTCTTTTTTTCTTTCTCTTTTTCTTTCTCTCTCTCTTTTTTTCTTTCTCTCTCTCTTTTTTTCTTTCTCTCTCTCTTTTTTTCTTTCTCTCTCTCTCTCTCTCTCTCTTTTTTTCTTTCTCTCTCTCTCTCTCTCTCTCTCTCTTTTCTTTCTCTCTCTCTTTTTTTTCTTTCTCTCTCTCTTTTTTTTCTTTCTCTCTCTCTTTTTTTCTTTCTCTCTCTCTCTCTCTCTCTCTCTCTCTCTTTCTCTTTTTTCTTTCTCTCTCTATGTCAATTAATTGATGTGTACTGTAAATATGTTCAACATTTCCTGTACATTTAGTAAGTAATTGTGAGAAAATTGTTCGTTATCAAGTGTGATGTTGAATTTTAATGCTAAAGTAACTTTGTTTTTGCATTGTTACTATGGAAACAAATGGTGTGAAGTCATTCACATACATAGCTTAAATGTTACAAACCACATTAACGTCTGTGTATGTATAAAAAGGTCAGTTTTATCTATATTATTAATTTTATCAAATTATTCTTGTTACATAACCAAAACACATTTCAAATAGTAATATCAAATTGGTGCGCCTCTAGACACAGGCCTCATGATGTCAAGTACATGGACACTTGACGCTGTAGGTTTGAAATCTGCATAAGGCAGTAATGTTTTCATTTGTGGCGTGCAGACATTTCAAGTCCCTCCTGTATTATACCTGAACCTCAATTATTCAGTAATCTCATCACCTGACAGGCAACTTTGTTTACAATTTGTGTGTGTAATTGAGAAGCTGAATCCTTACACCCAGAACAATTACCAAAAACTGAGATGGTGCCATGGAATACCAAGGGCAAATATCTAAAGGTATGGGACAGTGATAGATCTATTTGGTGTTTGGGGAGTTTGGAGATATTCTTCCTTGTAATATCCCCAGAGGTGCAGTAGGTACCACGAGTTGCCCTTGTAGTTCTTCTTGAAACTATTAGATAGCTGCTGAGAAGAGGGTGGGTGGAAAATCAAAAAGGTAGCTCAGACTCAAGAAAATAGAAGTGTAACCAGTATGAGAAAGTCTGTACCACAACTAGTTCATTAGTGTAATCAGTTTTTTAATGTTGGACTTTTTGCCTCTCATGTTTCTTCAATCAAATCCTGCCAAATTACATTTTCTAATCACATTTTACAATATATTTACTTTGTTTTTTCCAGTTAAAAAGGTACAAAACATATGCGTATCTCCTGCGCTCTCGAATATCTCAATATCCTGAGCTTGAGCCTTCGTTAGTGGAGACCTGTATTGGTGAAGTGGATGAAGGGGGGGCTGTTGCGCTTATGGAGCCAATGGCTGGTGGCGGCGGAGGGATCATTCCTCCTCCTGTTCCTGATCGACGCACAAGTCCTACAACCAATAGGTATAGTTATCGGGCAGCTATTTACAGTGGTTCTGCGGGCAGCAATCGAGACAATGGGGGAGACATAGGCTGACGGATGATGGGAGTATTCTCAGCATGTGTACTGTAAAATAATTGCAATAATGTGTGTTGTGCATGGGTAATACATGCTTGACGGGCCAGTTATGCTGCCAGCCACAATGAGTTGCACAGAGCCATTGTTTTGTGGGAGGAACTGTTGGTTTCTTGAAGGCAGTATTCACATATTTTTTGAATTGTTCAATTCTACACACTGTTGGTAAAATAAGTTTGAGAAACTTCCAAATTGTTAGGGTTGATATGGTTTTTATCATTTATTTGTAATGAATTGATTTTATATTAAGGCAAAATTTTCTTTTTTAAATTTCTTTATTGCCTCAAAATGCATTATTGCTGCTAAGCTCTCTTCTTTCAAGTTCATCATTTTTCAGAAAAACACTTAGATTGAATACTAGTTGTTTTTTTCCAGGGGGGGGGACTTTTATTTTTTTATTATTTTTATTTATTTTTTAAATAAATATTCTGGAATGTGATGTTTTCTTTAAAGTATTTTGGATTACAGCTTTAGTTTTTTGAATAAATGTGTTTTTTATCCCAAAATTTTATCTTGTTGAATTTGAAACGATCATAAAATATCAACCCTTCAAAAAATAATTAAAGTTTCTGATTTGCATTCTTTCTTTCTTTTTCTTTTTTTCCCCTCCAATTTTGATGCTGTTAAAAGCTAGAAACACAAAGTATTGTTAATGGAATCTTTTACTCCAGAAGATAATGTGATGCTACTTTTTTGTGCATCCAACCAATAAATGGCCAGTGATACCAATATCTTAGCTTCAACTTAAAGTATTCCACAAAAACCTTGAGTAATTGCTAACCATCACAAAAGTGTGCGTTATCTGTGATATTAGAGAGAAAATAAATGTTGAATATTTGCCAAATGTTATGTGCATCCAGAAAGACCATTACAGTCTTAGCTGGTTTTTGTGTTAATATAATGCTACAGTAATAAAGCCCTGTACACATACAGAGTGTTTTATTTTGTGTTTTGAATTCATTAATAATGAGTACAAGGATACAAGTAACTAATGTCTTATTTCACCCTTTAATTTATTCGGTAGGAACACTGGTGAAAGAAAAGCTTGTATTAAGATAATTTAGGACATTTAATTTATTAACTTTACCATAACTGTGTTGATATATTTTCAGTTTCCTTTTTATATTATCCTTTGGTGAAAGGAGAAATTGTGCATTTCATATTTCAAAATTTGTGAAACACTGCTTTCTCATACTATTGAGAAAACTGGAGTATTGAAAACTGTAACTTTTGAACAGTTCCTTCTTTGTAATTTTGTAATAATTGTAGATAAAGCAGCTTTTTGCATGTTTGTTTATGGGAATATATGAACAGTTAACGTTAATCTTTGGTTTTATGTAAAACTTCTGTCAGTTTAACCATCACTTCTTGCAAATGGATTGTTCAAATTAAGCAGATAATGAACTTTAATATCTTTTTATGTATGTGTGTAAATTATATGCCAGAAGTGATGAAATAATGAACACATTTCTTTGTATTATAAAAATTCTGCCCTATTCACCTGTTTCTCTGTGCACAATTCTTCTTGCATTAATGTGTGTTGTGTACACTGGCACTTCTCTGGTCTAACTGTGTTTGTTGGTGTTTACAGTCACTTGCTGAAAATCCTCCCTATATGTCTTTAACTACTGCTAACTCTACATTTTATGGACACTAACTTTCCATTTTTACAATGCCACCCTGTATTTATTGATCAAAACTCACAGAAATGTTGCTTCTGCATGTAGCTGAAACCCAGCAAATATTAAATGAAAATGTGTTTCCCCATAGATCAAGAACAATAACTTTGAACCCTTCATATAGTATTTATTTATTCATTTTTATGAAGTTTTCCACATTTATATTACTTTCTATAGTTTTGGTATTAGATTTTTATGTAATATTTTTACCTCTGTATGTACCATGTAGTAATATTGACCAATTAAAAGAAAGCTATAATTTAATTAATAAGTACATGGTTGCCAATTCAGACTGACTACCCTCATACATGAGAGTATTACTCAATTTAATATACTGAATAAAATACTCTTTAAGTTGCATAACTAATGTAACTTATGTAAACTGTGAGATTCAAAGCAAGTAAGTAAAAGTTGAATGTATAATGGCAACATTCCACTCAGATCTGATTTACCTAGAACAACTTGCAGAGAAAGAAAGACTTCTAAAAACATTTCTTTTGAAATGTTGACCTCTTTTTGCCATTATGTGGATTTCAAAATATAAAATTTTCACAACTTTTACTGTTACATTGTCAAAGGTATAAGCTTGTTATAAAGTTTACAGTGAAATCGTGAGTGTTGTGTAATGCTCTGAATGAAAATTAATTCATGCGGGAGGCTCATGATCTATTTTACACTTGAAAGCAAATGAAGAATGAGTGAGTGAGTACATGTATATATGCTTCCCCTCAACCAATCATTATGAAAACCCACATATGAATTTTATGGGAGAATCAACTTTTGCAGCGCTTAGAAGTGACTAATTCAGTATTAAATTTACTTCCGAATCTGATAACAAGATTGACCAGGGAAATATTATATTTGAAATGCAGTGTAATTATAAGAATGATATGTAGATAATTATATTTCACTGTACAGCATAATATATGCATAGATATGTAAATACTGTACATAAGTACACAATTAAGAGTAAAGGAGGAGCACACAGGTGTATCGGTGAAAGATTTGACATGAAGTTCTCAGTCAGGAGTAGCTGGGCCCTTGCAATGAAACATTATTTTATAATTAAATATTTTTACAGAAATTTCTTCCATTAACAATCACATTTCCTGAATTGTAACGCATGCTTTTTTATTGTTTTTATTTTTATTGTCAGGCCTAATCTTCAGATATTTTCTGAACTCTCTTATAATTCATGTTCTTCTTTGGTTTTGTGGTAAATGCTTCACTGTCAACCAAGTGTGAACCTTCTTAACTACCTTAGAAGGCTGAAATGATCAAGCCTTTCTTCATAGAGCAAGTAAAAATGTGATAACTTTTTCTGATGCAGTTCTACTCAATGCAGTTGTTGGAAACCGATGGTAATCGGAAATGTGGAAATGTTTTTAATGGTTATAAATTTTAAAAAAATGCAAAATATGTGAATGAATTTTTGTATATTCTAAAATTGCATGTGCAATTAACAATTATTTCAGTGAAAGGAAAACAAAGTAGTTGTACTTGAGTCTCCATTATATTTAATTTCTCTTTACTGAAATAATTGAAGATTTATTTGTGTTGCTAGAAAATCAATAACCTAGGATTGTGGTAGTTACTAACAAAGGGCATTTAATTAAGAAGCTCTGAAAAGGAGATAATTACCAAAGCTGTGCTAAGTAATTTCAAATCAAAGTTATTGGTGGTTGTTGTTTTTGTCCATTATTGCCTTTTGTGAATGAATTAAATTTTTTAAACACTTGATTGTTATTTTAGTATGTCCCAAAAACGTATGAATTATCTGACATAGTGTAATAAATTAGGTATTTACTGCTTAACTTTGAGTTGGTTTAGCTATGTTGTGTTAGTTTCTCTTAAAGTCAGAAAATTCTTGGAAATAATTGCATTTGAAATGTTTAGATGTATCCTTTCGTGCAGGGAGTGACTTAACTTTCTTTACACTTTTTAATTGTTGGAGAAACTGAAATCCAGTTTTCATGATATTGAACCTCTGCAAACAATGAAGGGATGCTGTATCCTGTTCTATGGAAGTTGTAAAAGTGGTGGCACTGATGCTGGGAAACAGATGAAGATTTCTTGTCAGGGAAATTTTTTTGCAATTATTTGTGTCAGATGCTTAGTGAGACTTTTTGATGTTCGGATGCAATATTTTTTTCTGTGTGTTTGCTGTGTCGAAATTCCATTGCACTGAACTTTACATTGAGTACCCATTATGCAGCGGGCTTTTCCTTGGAGTATTCAGAGCTGCTTTTGGTTGCCTGCACCTGGACCTTTGCTCACCTAAGCCAAACTTCATAGGCAAGTCAGTAAGAATATTGAACCGTGAATCACTTTTTTTTGTGATTGATTTTTTTTTCCCCCTCCCCTCGTGCAATTCTCTAGTTTCCCTTGCTTCCTCCAAAGTTTTATTGTAAGCAGATAATTTGCAGTCATAAAATATGGTAATAATGATGTACACATTTTGTGCCATCTACTACTGCCTTAGAGATTTTTTGATGATGGAAGTATCAATACTTGTCTGTAGCTCAGCAAGCCTAATAGAATACTAGATGTTGTAATCGATACACACTCTAGGAAGGCAAAGCCTACATGTTCAGCAATCTCATCTCCATTGTACATTAGAAAGCTTGAAGGCAGAAAGATACTTCTTTGAACTCCTGCATACGAGTTGCCTCGGGCAAGAAGAGTTGAGAGGGTGATGAAATACCATGCCATACAGTAAACTCTCTAATAAACGAATTCCAGGGGACCAACATTTGGGAAGGTTGTTTATTAGATAGTTCTTTATCAAGAAAGTTTTGAATGAAAATGATTATTAATATACAACATTCCACAAGTGAAGAAAATTCATTTCTTTAACTGTACTACCTTTATTTTACAAAAAATATTATTTATTTCTGGGAAAGAATTGTTTCTTTCTTTCTGTCTTTTGTTATATTTGTGAGGGAAATCATTGTTTACAGCTTCAGAGCTGATTTTTGTCACATGATCAGAGCATGTCATTTGGGCATTACCCATGAATTGCTCAGAAAGAAATGAGTTTATGATATTTTGTATGTTCAGCCAATACTTGTGCCCCCCCCCCTATTTTATGCTTTGTGACCACAAGCAGATTCTGAACACAAACATAATCTTGCTCGAGTACTTTGCATTCAATCTTTATGCCATCATTCTTCCACCTTCGCAGTTGTGAAAGTGCTTATTCAAGATGGCATTGCCCCACACCGTCATGCAAACTCAAATTTTGAGTACTCTGGTGGAAAAACTAGAATTCTTGCATTGAAAGGAAACAAGTTACTGTTGAGGTATTTATTTGCCCCAAATCTGGGAGTGACTGAAAACTCCATGAAAACACTCATCTTAATAAGATACTGGTGGGATTCTACAATTTTGTTCATTATTTAGACAGTTCCGTTAATGAGAAGAATTCGTTTTTGGATAGTTCACTATATATTGCAGAAGGGCTGACTGTGAGAGTTGAAACTGTGTGATCTATGTTAGGATGGAAGGCATTCATAGATGGAAGAAAAGAATATTAACCCTTTATTTGAAGAATTTAGATTATGTAAAATTATCATTCATTATTTCATATATTTTTTCCTAACAAAAAGTTCTTAACACTAGAAAATTCAGGCTTTTCTTGCATCTTAGAATGCCCAAACATACCAAAAAATGGCACTATTCTATGGTTTATTTTTACGAAGAATTGCTTGTATTGCTGGGAAATAATCCTGAAAGTTATGACTGCATCAAGAACAACTTAATAATTAATTTTAAATGGTTGAAGTAAACTAGTGGTATTACAGAATGGCACTGACTTTCCCGTGTTAGTTTTCTATTTCCTTTGGTCTCGGCTAGCTACTCCGACATGCCACATACTCCTGCCAGCTGCTATCTATTGCCGACCACAGTACGTTTTTGACGATTTCTTAATTTGTCGGTTTTCTAATTGTAGATTGAAAGTATTATTTTAAGATTATTATAGAACGGTAAAACGTTCTCGTAATTGGTAATTTTCTTTGAAAAATTTGGAGCTGTTTTTTTAAACGACGTTTAAGTGCAACTGTAAGTTCAAATTTGGAGCTCTTTTTCACAGAACTTTTTTATGTTTTCCAATAACTTAATTTGATGTCATTTTAAGTACTTCAACTCACAAATACAATAGTGTTTATAAATTGTTGGAAATGTGCATATCAATGGCATGAGAGATCTTTCAAAAAATTACATTTTGAAGACCCCCCCCCCCTGAAATTAATTTCATGTCATATTAATGAGTGAAATTAGCACTATCCGTGCGAAATGTTTGAAGACAAACATTGCAGCCGTTTTTCAGAAAATTGCATTTGAGCGTTTCTGATAATACAGAGTTTTGACAGAAAACGGTAGTTTTCGTGAACTTTAAGACATTATTTAAAGCACATGTACTCATAAATGCAATAATGTGAACAAATTGCTGCTAATATAAAAATTAACATGAGAGACAAGTAAAAAAATACATTTTTGTAAAATTTTTGAAAAACCAAAGAAGTGAGCAATATGTCTTTTCTTTCATCTGATTGAGTACATTTAGCACTATCTCTACCAAAAGTTTAAAGAGAAAAACTGGAGCACTTTTTGAAAAAAGCTTGTTTTTGTATTTTTTTAAATTGAACGCAATATTGCGCGAACACTTCTAAAATTTTCAAAAATATGTATGTGATCTTAATCAAAGAACTAAAAGATGTAAAAAATTCAAAAATATGCAAAAACTTAACTGAAAAACATACAGATTTAACTCTCTGAAATGTTTTTTAAAAAAATTGCATGAAAAAGTTCTACGTAATGAATTGTACTAATGCTTTTGTAATAAAACACTTTCATCTTGATCAATTATTATTTTTAAACACATAATTGTGTAGCTGCTTCTTTCCCAGTTTCTTTTAACTCCATTTCAAGATGATAATTATCTTTAAAATCAATTTTTTTAACCTCTTTTTAATATAGTATTTTTCCATAACTTTTATATAACATTTTTCATCGAATTTCTTGTGCTAGTTTCTTTTTTTTAATCTTGAAATATTTTAAAGACAATTTTATTATCTAATGTTTAATGTGTTAAAAGTCGTTTTAAAAATAAAAAATGTTATTTAAACAAAAACTTTGTATTCTTATATTTTATGACAAAACATAATGTGGAACTTTCAGTGATTTTTATTCTCATGAATCATTTGTTCTGAGCCTATAATATTATAGCTTAATAGATTATTGTAGCTGGAACTGAAAATGTTACAATATTAAGGATACAGCATCCCTACAGCCTTGGGCTTTGATTTTTAATGATGGAAAAGTCATCTCCATATCATAATTTATTTACATTTGAATGTATGTTATCATTTAACATCAAACCTTATATTCTTATACATTTACATATAAATTAGTGTTAGATTATTTTATTTGATTTACTCTAACTTCCCTATTTTTCACTGTTTTTTAAAAGAGATTATTAATGAAAACAAAATTGTTGAAAATTTTGTATCACTTTTCGTTCTGTTTTAAAATATGTAATCAATAAATAATGTATTTAAAAACTGTTTTGATTAATGTTTCTGGCATTTATAAAGTAATTCCAAATATGGTTAGATATTTTCGAACAATGAGATTTCTTATGATTTTCAATTCCTGCTTTGGAGTGGTAGGAGAGTATTAAAATCTTTTCTAATTAATTTTCATTTATCCAATATTATTATGTATAAAATTACACTTTATTTCTGTAGAAATTGCAGTAAAATTAAATTTCTAAACAAATAGTAGTTTCTTCATACTCTAGGGCTTCAGTAACAAACAAACTGGTTACGTGTTGATTTAAATTGATAACAAGTTTGCCGTTATTGTGAACTTCACATCAAGCGATGAAACTGATTGGTCTTTTTTGATTCTCTTCTAGTCATTAGTTTGTCAATAGTTAAAGTTTGTCACTAGGTTACCCTCAGAGCAAGATATCAAGAGTAATAGTGTGCACTTTCAAAATGACGCCTGTCAGTTTCATAAGTCTTATCTGCAAGTAAACATGTTACATGTTTAATTACAAGTAAAGCATGTGGACAGCAGGCAGTGAATACAATCTTGACTTGAAGCAATGGACAACTGTAAGAGCTATGGAGCAACTTTTAGAACAGAATTTGTTGCTTGTTAAATATTAAGAAAAAAAATTATTGATGTGTTAGTTTTATATAATGTTGCCTTTCTCGATAGACTGAAGATAAAGTACATGCTTGGCATTCAATTGATTTTTAAGCTATGCCATATTCAAATGTAGTTTTCAGACACTGTAATGTATTAATTATTTGTAAACAGTGTAATTTTAAACATATATTATGTTTAGAGGCATGTTAAAGAATATTAATTAAAAGTGCATTTTTATATAATCATATATCTTGTTTACATACCACCTTTTCTTGTATTCTATAAAGTTAGTATAAATCTCTTTTTGCTCATGCCCATCTATCTCTGAGGTCTCTGTTCACCCCACTTCCTCTCTGCCCTGTTGTCTCCTCCACTAACCTTCTTCTCACTCCTTTATGGGTGGTTCATATGTTCATACAAGAGAGATGTGTGTGTGGAAGTTTACAGTGTTTATGTATGTGTATATATATATATACTCTCCCTATATGATTTTTCTCCTTAAAGGTAGATTGTAGGAATATTTGTTGTTTTTCTTTTTATGAAAATTGTTCTCATTACTCAACTTTTATATGTAAATATTGGTCTATATTCATTATTTTGTAATTTCTTTCCTGCACATGAGGGTTTGTTTGAATGACCAGTTATTCAGGTTGAAAAATATTGAAAGCTTTTATTTAAAAATTATGGCTAAGTTGAATATTTTTTTAATATGTGAAAGATGTGTAAACAATAATATAAAATTAATAAATATAGGATCAAGATTTTTTTGTGGAGAAAGTATACTTGAAACATATAACAACTTACATATGCAGCAGTGTCGCAACTTTTAAAAGAAACTGTGTTTAAAAAAACTGTAAAAGAAGAATTTTAAAGTTCCTCTGGTAATAAATTCATTGTGGAAGTTTGAAATCATTGAAAACAAATCCTCATATTTTTTAGAATATCTTATAGACCCCAGTATTTACTGAGAATCATACTATTGAATATTAAGATGCCTTTTCTTCAGGAAGAAGTTGATCCATTTAATTAGCACATCTTCCCTCTTTGTGTATGCAAGTTTGTACAATATTTGGAATTATTTCTGGTGGCGGTTTCTTATAGTGTAAAATGTCTATTGTAATTGTTTGTGCATGCCAACTCCCATATTCTGCATGTTAGAGTGGTTTGTGATGGATGGTTTTGTATTAAGAAATGTGTTCTGTTATTAAAGTTAACATAGTTAATGTGTTATTTGAAAGAACAATGCCTGAGTATTGGACCATACTTAATCAATACAACTATGAGTTTAGATTAATTTATTTACTGGTAAAATTTTTCTTTTATTTCAGCGAGTGAATTTGTTTTGTTGCATGCAGGGGATCATCTGGTGATGAAATTTTGGAAGATGAGCTCTTACAGCTGGAAGCAAGTCAGCTATAATTTTGCATTACAAATGGTGCATTTCTGAGTCTTCAAGATATTAATGTACATAAAATGTGCTACTTTTAAATGGCATTGTATGTAGTGTGTACATTAATTTTTAACCTTTTAATATGATAAATGCCAAAGATTATTTGCATTTTGGTTTATGTTCCATTTTTGTATTCAACTCCATATGAATTATGAAATTAAAAACTCAAAAAACCTCTTTAATCTAAAAGAAAAAGATTCTATTCAATGGATTTGTGTCCTTTTTGTACTTGAGAGAGATACCTTCACAAGCAGACTGAATATTTATAAGAATTTTACATGTATAATTTTCTTAAATATTTTGCTATTAATTTTTTTGTAACTTGCCTTTCTTGTAAAGTTTATTAATTTTTGATAGTTGATGTTCGTTTGCAGTGCTTTCAGGAGAGGTTGTTTTTCCTTGTGTGCATTAGGAAAGAAATGGAACATGAAAGTGAAGGCTGCTACCCTCCTTCCTCTTTCAGACATTTAGAAATATAATGAATACTTTTCTTTTCTTTTCTTTTCTTTTCTTTTCTTTTCTTTTCTTTTCTTTTCTTTTCTTTTCTTTCCTTTTCTTTTCTTTTCTTTTTTTTTTTTTGGTAGTTTAAATATCCAAACTATTATTATTATTATTATTATTATTATTATTATTATTATTATTATTATTATTATTATTATATGTTACTGTTGTTATCATTGTATACATTCTGAGAATACTCAAGTCATTTTCAACTCTTTTGGGAATATTTACTGAGACTTTCCAAATTACCTCTCCTGATTATTGTTTAAATGATTTGAATTCATTTCACCTTTGTTGTTAAACTTAATTTCATTTAATTTAGTTCATAATTTCTGACATTAATTATGTACTAAGCTTCCAAAAATTTGAGGTTTCCATCACATCTTAAAATGCTTCACACTGTAAAACTTTATTACTTCTACTTTTTCTTCTTACTCAAGTAATAAAATTTCTCAAACAACCCCACAAATATTACTTTTGCTTGTGTATAAGACATTTACTTTTGTCCCAACTTTTCTATAAATGTGATATATTATTCTTCTCGCTAAGATTGATCTAAAAATACCAAGTAATTTTGATCAATTTATTTATCTCCAATGAAAATGATAATTAGATTTATTTAATTTGGCCATTGTCCAATCAAAATTTAAAATTCTTGTGATGAATACTATTTAAAAAAATAATATAGGTATTTTCACCAAAATTAATATTTACTCTTGATCAGTTAACATATCTACTGGATTGCTCTTGCACATTGCAAGAAATGACGAGAGAGAAAT